ATCTCTGATCACGTCTTCCTTCGGAAGGGAAGTAAAGCCGTTGGTCCCCGGTTCAGGAGTTGATGGGTCGAAGGATAGGGTTCAGGAGTGGGAGCTGCCTCTCTGGCCTCGGTAGCATTGATGCTCAGCACGGAAAACAAGATCGACGGTAAACAAATAAAAACAAAATTAAGAAAGTCTTTGGAATAATTTCTTATGAACCGACTTTCTTATAAGAATGTCAAAGAGGCGTGATTTGATCTATTGAACTATTATAAATCTTCAGAATAATTACTAGTCAACCAGAAGAATTGTTAAAATACTGTGAGAATATTTTGCAGGTATTTGGTCAGTTGAAGGTTTTTGGAATAGTTTCTGCTAATCCAACTTTCGTGCAAGAATATCTTAAAGGCAGGATATGATTTATTGAGCAATTGTAAATCTTAATAAATATTACTAATCAATCAGAAGAATTGCCGAAGTATCAAGGGAACATTATTCAGGTATTTGATTAATTTCCGGGTTTTCGAACACACTAAGTTCATTTTACCGAAATTTTACCGAAATCTCAACAGCTGAACGCAGAATAAATTTTGAACATAATCGAAGCACTTTTGAAAATGAGAAGTACCTTTTCACGTGGAATTGCTTTAATATACTGTAAGGTGTATTTGACCCTGAATCCCCATGAAGAATTCACATTTTCCCATCGAGACCAAGTTAACTCGTAACTTTCTAACCCAGAGTCATCATTTCATTTGCGATTTCAGTGTATCATTGACAAACTTCAACCCCATTAGAATCACATCTCCAAAAATGCGATTGACTCAAGAGCAGTTCCAGGCTAAATAGCAAATACAATTGATTTCAACTCGACCTTCACCGATTCACATAAAACTTTTCAAAATTGTTTGCTAAGGGTAATCATACCCCGTAACGTGGGTAGTTCACCTTTTCGTGGTATGTTACGGGATCTAAGATCTACCACCGATTCCTAGTCTCGACTACTTTAAACTAGGGGAACAGGATTTTTCAGTAATCAAAGGAACACATCTTAAACCTTGTTACTTTTTATGCCTTGATGATAGTGACAAGAGTCGGCTTTGTCCACCGAGGATGATCTTGAAACAAGGAAAACTTTAGTAAGTTAGTCTTCATCTATGTGATTCCAAACCTTTTATTCGTTGTTCTCTAGTATGAAGTGGTTAACCCTAGTCTTCTGATGCATGATCATTATCCGTGCTATCCCTTAATTGTGTTTCTAATGAATCCAATTTTAACTGACAAAGCGGTGCACATTTGGAGGGTGTTCCAACACTCTGAGGGGTATAAATAGAGGAATCTTTCAATTACAGTCGGATCCTTGCAATAAATTCAAGAATTATAACTGTAAAAAAAAATCGAATACTTCATCATTTCTCAATACTGATAGAGAGTAATACGATATGCATTAAACTAAGGACGCGGGATTAACACAATAGATCAAATTGCTGGTCACAGTGGTGTTAGGTTCCAAACAGAGGAAAAACAAATTGCAATAATTCACATTTGTCCTGAAATCTATCCATTTTGAATTTAAATGCCGTATTTGACATGTTTCAATAAGTGTTAGGACAAATGTTACTTCTGATCAAAATGATGCCGTAGTTAAAATTTTAGAGAAAAATAAAGTCTTTATTTAAAATTAAACGGTATTTTTTTCAAAATTCCCTTTTGAGTAAACATTGCAAAAAAGTCTTGAAAACTAAAATTTCTCGAAATTTTCGTTTGCATTTTCCGTAATTAAAAAAAAATGATCATGATTTTTTTTTTATTGAAAATTATGGACACATGAAAATTGACAAAAATCAAACAACAACAACCATGTATAATTTTTGAGCAGAAACTGGGTAAAAATTACACAAAATTGCATCAAATATTTTAAGATTTCTGTAAATTTTAATAAGTTCAACTTTTTTCAATATTTAAAGAGGGTTCTATAACATTTCTCAAAAAAACCATTCCCCCGAAAACCATTCCCCAGAAAACCATTCCCCAGAAAACCATTCCCCTGAAAAGCATTCCCCGGAATGTACCATTCCTCAGAAAAGTATGCCATGTATTAGATTGACTAATTTTGTTTATTATAGTCACTCCTGGAATCTTCTTTCGCGTATATAAAAAGAATAGAAAAACTTCTTAATGGATCAAGGCGTTTTCCTTTCTTTGAAAATATAAGAAAAGGAAATAATTAATTTTTTGGATATAGGGTAAATGTCGGCTTCGGCACCTATTGACTGTTTTCGGCAACCAAAATTTAAACGTTAATTTCACTATGTTTTACCATCAACACACTTCCCTGAATGTATCCAAATGATTCTTTAGTCTTTCAGCTTCAATCTGATTATATTTGTAGAACCGAGCATTGAAACAAACAGCAGATGAATTGAAACAAACAGACACGTCATATATGTGCGTGACGCTGTGAAAATGCTAATAGAAGTGCGGACGCTGCTTAGATTGACGAGAATACGTAAATTCCCCTACGATAAAGAAGGGAATATTCCCTTCTTTTAATTTATGAACGAGAACATGATTAATTCGTTAAATGTATAATAAATATGGGAATATTCTGTTCTTTGAAAATTTAAGAAAAGGAAATCATTACATCTTTGGATAAACGATAAAGAATGGAATATTCCCTACTTTAAATATGTAAATAATATGAAAAATAAGGAAATATTCCCTTCTTTGAAAATATAACAAAAAGAAAGAATTAATTATTTGAATGTAAGATAAAGAAGGGAATATTCCTTTCTTTGAATATATAGAAGAGAACATTATTAATTCGTTAAATATATGCTAAAGAAGGGAATATTGCTTTCTTCGAAAATGTAAGAAAAGGAAATAATTAATTCTTTAGATAAACGATAAAGAAGGGAATATTCCTTTCTTTGAATTTATAATAGAGAAAATAATTAATTCTTTGGATGTATGATAAAGAAGGGTATTTTCCCTTCTTTTAAAATATAGAGAAAATATATAATCAATAGCTTTTTGCAAGGGATTCGGGGTAATGACCATTTGGGATAATAACGAGTGGAATAATGTTATGAATTTGTAATCGGTAGTTCAACGTTTCATGCACCGATTTTTTAATCCATCACGAGAAATTCTTCAACTCTGGTCGAACAATTCTTCGATAAGGTTTAACAGTTTCCGACTGGTTGAATTGGATTGCATAATAGACCTTTTGACTTATTAAATGATGAACGAAGTGCTCGAAAACTTGAAGGTTGTCATTTTATAAAGAGCTAAAAAATGGTTTGAAATTGATAAATACATACACTCAAAATAAACTACACGTTGAAGCTACGTGAAATATCACGTAAGCTCTCAATTTTCCTCACTCTCAGTTTTACGTAACTCACGTAGAATTTATGTAATGTCCCTAGAGTTTCTTTTTAACACACCTACATAATCAATGAAATGTACGTGATTTTCACATAACACTGAATCTATGTGCGTTTCACGTAAAGCTTATGTGATTTCCACATCTAAAAAAAAGAGTGGTACGTACACTCAGAGCGGTGCAAATCTTGGCAGCATCATGATGTGCTTTTGTTCGGTATTCGGTAGTGGCAATATGTAAGTATAACATTATGGATTATTGTATTCTCTTAAAAAAAACTGTCTGTTTCATCGTGCTCAACAGAATGATTTCAAGCTGTCCAGCTTACTCTATGAAAAAAAGTATCTCGGCTTATCGGCTTATGCGTATCGAATATTTAAAACAAATCTGATGTGGTGTATTTAGAATATTTATGTATATATTAATAGAAATATTATTCAATTATACAACTATGAATACAGTAAAGATTGTATCTACATATTAAAAAACATATTGTATAAAAAGTGTAAAAATATTGAAACTAGAATCCTCCAATGAATGTCACCGACCAAATCATGTAACTTCTATGTGATAATCCTGTGACGGTTAAGCTTCATGAAATGAGTACCTCTACATGCGAATCACGTAGCTTTTATGTGAAAAGTACGATGGAAAAAATCTACGTAAGTTTTCACGTAGCATTTACCTTAAAATTATTGTAAGTGTTGTTCTATAAAAGTAAACATAGTGTATTATCAATAGTAAAAATAAGAAAAGATAAAATTACTAATTTCATCATCTTTTCTGGGGAATGGTACATTCTGGGGAATGGTACATTTTGGGGAATGTTTTTCTGGGGAATGGTGCATTCTGGGAAATGGTTTTCTGGGGAATGGTTTTCTGGGGAATGGTTTTCTGGGGAATGGTTTTCTGGGGAATGATATAGAACCTTTAAAGAGTATGCATTTTTCTTGAGCCATTTTTTATTTATTATAAAATATGACCAAGAACATTTTGAGATATTACAGATCTTAAAACTCTCTCAGATTTTAAAATTTACTGTGTATTTATCTACAACTTTGTCTCAGACGTCATTTCGATCCCAAGTGACGTTCTCATGCTATAATTTATTGAGAAAAGGGAAAGACGTCATTGTTAAAATTTGTACAAAATCCAAAATTGCTGAACTTCAGGACAAATATGAATGGGTGCCTACAACAAACAATTATGCAAAGTTTCATACAAATCGAAAAAGGTCGAGCCTGATCGAGAAATCGAATTACTCTCAATCGGAATGTTGTGGAACTGCTCTCAAGCTATCTGATACAAATAAATATACAAAGCTAGCTATGCGTTTTCTCAATGAACTCAAACGACTGGTTTTTATCGCATGAACGTGACATCCTTGCGCAATGATGTAAAGTACCTACCTAGCAGAATAGTGAAAATCAAAAATGTGCATACAGCAAAAAAGGCGAATCGTTAAATCGTTAAATCAAAAAAACACACCGAAACTCGAAGCAAAGAAAGCGAAACCAATTCCAGTTCCCACGAAACTCGACGTAAGCATCATCCTGCGTGTTAGCGAGAAGAAAGAGAGCGTGTTTGTTTCACAATCAAATGAAAGTCACGTGGTTATCGGTAAATATCAAAAAGAATTTATTTCAGTCGTCCTTGTTAATCCTTAAAAGCAAAAGCGATCCTTGAAATACCCGTTGAACTTTTTTTTTGCATCAAAGCATCTCTGGTGAATTATTCCTGCATTGTTTTAGCGTTGAAGTGGGGGGAAATTTTGGCTAGCTTAAGATCTCTGAGTAAGCGTGATATTGAATCCGTAATGGTTGAGCTCGTGGATGACTTACTGATTGTTGCGTTGGTTTGTATATGATCGGAGGGGTGATTAAAAGTGATGTTGGCTTCTTATTGAACTTATCATTTATTCTTTATTTCGCAGCTTCAAGCAAGTGGTATGATTTTGGTTTTATTTATGTTAATGAATCTGAATATCTGATGGCGGTTCGGCTTCCTGCTATCAAACGATGTTGTCCTGAGCTTATTTCTATTTTTTTATTATCTTTTATTGGTAAGTAGTTTTATTAGTAATAGTACGCTAGATTAAATTTTTCTCTGTAGCTTCGGTGACGCTGAAACACACGGGCTGCTGCAAAGCTTAACCTACAAATCGTAAAGATTGGAAAAAGCATCAGATGGTGAACGGATCTCAGGCTGTTGCTAGAAACCTATACAAACCAGGAAGACAGGGGTAAAGCAATTCGGAGAAGATAAGCATTTTAGGCAAAGCAAAAAACAGATCGCAACGGGATTATAAAAGTACGAATGGACTAGGGACAGGTGCGAGGTGTTCGAATTCAGGGCGTGCGGCAGCGGTTATTACCTCGTCGGTGGTGCGATCAACGGCAATAGTTTACGAATCGATTTGGAACGCATTAGTTCGTACTGCTTGGTGTACTTGGTGTAGCTCATTCTATGGTTTCGTAGTTTCGATTAATACGTCCAAGCATAATTGTACCAAACACATTCAAACAAGTTTTTTTGGTTGCTTTAAATAAATAATAATTTAGTTGTCTATGACAAAAGTGACGCTTGTTTGTATCTGTCTCCGAGAACTGACATTGACATTAGTTTGTCGTATATATAAATGCTGGTTTGCTGTAATATACGGAATGTGTCCATAACTGTATAATAACGGGTATGAAAAAATGAGAATGATTTCAATACCGTCCAGCGCTCTTGTGCGAGAATCGCGACTAAGTTGCATCGTACGCGTGATCAGAGCCCCTTCTCCAATATTCATTGACGTTTTTGTTATGTTTTTAATAAAAAAAATACTGAATTCGTTGAAGAAAAAATGTTTTTTTTTTACTAGCTGACTGAAAAAATTCTAATTTTTTATTAAACACCCTTTGCTATTCTTGTTTAGGTAGTGGGCAGCAGCAACATTATAACTGAATTTGAACTTATATTTGAAAACTTTAATGATTGCCAGCATCGAAGGCGGGACGTATCATTTGGCTTATCTTTCTTCTAAAAATTCATAAATTCCTGTGTCATTTATGAGGGCTCCTAGTGTTGACAGTTTAGTAAACATTCTGAAAACCTCTGTTCTCCAAAGAATTTAAGAGACTGACATTTGGAGAACTTCTGTTAATATGTAGAAACCTCTACAGAACATCTAGAGAAGTTCAGAGAGCACCTAAACAAGTTCAGGAAATATCTAGTGAAGTCACTGAACATCTAGACAAGTGAAGCACAGACAAACAGATATAACTTTCACCATCACATTATTCGTACATTAAGTTTTAGTTGGGAATGTGCTTGCATGTGTCATGGTGGCACCACTAAAGCGTTAAGCAAGCCACTACATTCCGAACTTATCAGTGATGCCAGTTCTTTTTCAGGTCAATTTAGTATATTTCAGCTCTTGATAATGATAAGGGACCAAGGCATCCCACTGGAGACATATACGGTAATGACCCGATTTTGCCAACATCTTATTGGACCAAAGAGTAGAGGTAACACCCATCTTGAAGATGCATAGGAATGATTTGGAATAACGATTTTATGAAATTAGTCTAATGCACGGAGGGGTTGATAAAATCGGGTCATTTCTTTACCACATACTAATCTGACGAATACAGGAAAAAAATAATGTTGAATATTTCACCCCAACAGTCGACTGGTCATTCCGCTTGTTGTGTAATATTACGCTGTACGATGTACACATAATTTGCGAACAAATCATTTTAATGAGTGTAATACTGTATCTACTTTTAGTAACTGGTATTTAATATATCATGAATATCATTGATTGATACATATTGTTTGCTTTGTACACATTAAGGTGATGAGCGGTGGTAGAAAAGGCACGCATTAGTGATGCATTACCATGTTTAAAAACATGTTTCCAGCCAAAAAAATCACACTTCTCCGGAACATCTAGGCGGGACTTGTCGACGAAAAACTCTAGGCCGGGGATCTGCTTGGCACCAGCTTCAATGTACGTCTCATCACCCATTACGATGCAATTCGGCTGCACCAACTAATCGTGGTACAGCTTCCAGGCGCGGGATTTGGCCACCGTATTCTGTTTATCGATTCGGTAAGGCGCCTTCCTTACCTTGAAGATATGAAGTCCGGCCCGCTTCATTGTCTGCTGGACGAACCAGACGGAAGCATTGACCTTCTTAGCCACGTCCCGAATCGAAAGGTTCGGATTGCGCTTGAAGGAATCCCTCACCTTTCTTGCGTTCACGGGGTCGGTCGTCTTCGCTTTTCTTCCACTGCCAGCTCGCCGCTGGGTCGTCTGAGTCTCCTTGAACGATTTTACCACACAGGACACGGTCGAATGGTCGATTCCAAACTGTTTCGCGTTCCACCTGTGGGACTGGCCTGGATTTTTCTCGACCGTTCCCATAATTTTTTGGTGAAGCACTTCTTGCTTGCAGCCATCTCGATAACCACTTGACAGATTGTAACGAGATTTTGCACATGTAAACATTACACTCTTAACTAGTTTTACTCAACATTTCATTAAATTGTACCCATGCATTAAAAAGTTATACACAAATGAAAGTGTTACATTTTTTTCGAGTACAATTTTTATTCTGTGCGATTCATGGAGTATTCAAGGAATATTCTATGCTGATCAAAAAGCTTCAAGATTAGTGCATAGACCATCTAAAGAGATTAATTGTAAATCTAGAAAAGTCCTGTTATCATCATATAAAGCTCAGAGAGTATCTACAGAAATTAAGGGATTATCTTGAGAATTTGAAGTGATTCCCTGCAACGTCCACAGCTGGTCGCCGTGACCTGCACCAAAACATTTTCCCTCTTCGAATTCCATACTTCGCATAACTTCGCATAATTGTTCACTGGGGACAATGAACCAAATTTGTGTCGGAATTCAGGCATTTTGACTCACACCTTATTTGTTTAAATTACCTGTTCCATATTTTTCAATAAATCAGAGCACGAAAACGACTAATCTAATCGACATGATGCTTAAAACAAAGTTGTAGGAAACTGAATAGCCTTTACCGGAAAAAAAAATCCACACTGAAAAAAATCACAAATTTTCGTCAAGAAATGAAAAAAAAAAATTTGATGATGAACTTTGAAAGTTTTTGAAACATAAGTTTATTTTAAGGTTATCAACACTTCTAGTTTTTCTTGAATGAACACAAGCAACACTTCAAATTGACCAAAATTGTTTTCTATGAACAAATCACATAAATATTGTGTGGAAAAAAATCAAAATTTTACTTTTTTTTTCATGATTTTGGTCAATCTTGAAATATCCGTTGTGTTCACTTCTGAAAAGTTAACTTTTTTTATAAGCTTCAAAAGAAACATCAGATTAATAATCTTAAAAAAAGGGCTATTTTTGTTATTAATGTTTCAAACAGATTTTAAATTTTATTTTAGAGAAAAAATATGTGTTTTTTTATATTATTGGCACAAATTGAGGATTTTTTCAGTATGTAGTTATTGCAGACGTTATTTAGATAAGATGAGCGCTTTTCGTGCTGTATTGAGAACTATCTAAGTCGAAATGGTTGAATTCTGACAATAACTTGGTTCATCCCCTAGCGAAAATTCATGAAATTCTGAGAGGTAAAATTTAAAAAAAAAATATTTATTATTTCGCTATTTGGCCTGGAACTGCTCAATTGAATTGTTTGTAGTAAAAGCCAAGATTAACACTTTTGAAATTTCTAAGTGATAATGAGATCCATCTTCGACAGAGATTCACCTTATTTCTAGAGAACTTCCGGTAGCCTTTTGAAAACTTCAGATATCATCTAGAGAACTTCAAAGAACATCTAGGGAAGCTAAGACGGAATGATTTCAGGAATATCAAGAGAAATTCATGGAACATGCAGAAGATACCATGGAACATGCAACTGCATGGTTCATCTAGACATGTTCAGAGAGTATCCTGTGATATTAACGCCGGCCAGCCTTCAACTTAAGTTGAGGGTTTGTAAATTGAGAGCTATCTAAGTCTGTACCATTTTTACATTAGTATAATTGAGTGGCAAGTACAATCTTACTCTACGCCCAGGGAAGTCTAGACATTTTTCAACCCGAAAAAATTCTACATTCCGGATCCGGAATCGAACCCAGTCATCAATCAGAATGGTCTTGCTTTATAGCTGCTCCTTTCCCAAATGAGCTCAGAGAGGCCCTTTAGAACATCTAGAGAGGATCACTTAACATCTACAGAAGATCAGTTCTAGCGAAGCTCAGTCACCTTAAAAACTTTGTCGATTACAACAATTTCCTGGATGGCCAGAATGTCATGATATAGCCCATACAGGAACTTCATATGCACTTTTGTGTTGCGTAGTGAGAAAATTATGTCCACCAACCAAATGGACTTTATTCCCTGAACAAGTTTTCCAATGACAGCAACTTTCTAGGATGTCGCAGCACTAATTGCCCTGTACCTTGTGATCATATTTTGTCCAAAGGAATTTTAACCAATTTTGGGTATTCATTCCTGTCTGTGATATTGCACATTGATGATCTTTTAGACTTGCCTAAGATGTAATGAGATGATAAAATTTCTCAAGATATTCTGTAGTCCGTTTTCACAATCGCTTTGTAATTGTCCTGGAAGCAATCTGAAATTGTAATAAATTACCAGTGGGCATATAGTCCACCAAATTCTCCTGGGATTTTCAGCTGACGGCAATCTGTATCTACTAATTAGTTCTAGTTCGTTGGTGAACAGCTGGACAATGCGTACCATTGGTACTTCACGTACCTGCATGTATAAAAGTATACTTCAATGTAGTCCTTAGCCTCTTGTCCAGTAACTCCTTTCCGCTGTGCCGGCCTATCACAATGACAATCATCAAACAGCTGATGGTAGTAACGCTTGGTACATTCCTATCTAAGTGCTTGTTGAAGCTCTCTCCATGAGCATCCACGAAGTTGACGAAATAAGTAAAAAGCAACTGGTGAAAGTCGCCTCGGCGGTGATCCATCGCCGATCTGGTCATTCCCGACAATCACGACACTCATCTGTGCTCGCTTTGAAGCAGTTGTTGCTTCACTTGCTTATGTGAGTGTGTTGGTGCCTGAGCCCGACGGCTTCCGTTTGATTTTTCTAGCTTGGCTTTGTTTTCATTTTGTGCTGTCGTTTCGCTTTTGCTCACCATCGTACTGCAGAAGACTTTGGGCTTTTCATCATCAGTAGTGAGTGTTACGTTTTACCTGTGAGCAGCAGGCTTGCTGAAACTCCTCAAACTCACTGAAGGTTTTAAAACACTCATGTCCTCTAGTGAGTGGCGGCAGGAATATGGAAGAAGTAAACAAAAACTCCTCGAGAGAGAGGGAGAGTGAACTTCAGCGAGAGGATGATTTGACGTGAGGGGCGCTTTTCGAGACTCCGGATGACTTTTTTGTTCGACGCAAGAAGCTCAGAGTTCACCCAGAGTGAGAGTAAGAGCGTGTGATTGAAAACATGAACATGAATGGCAGCAAACCTCACTCTCATTTTATCCCCCTTCGCTCACAAGCTCTAAAGTTCAGTGGAATGATTGGCAGTAGGCATTCTACTCCTCAGAAAAATGATACACTCGGCTCATTTCAAACTCGCGAGTGAGGCCCCATCAAGCCTGGTGAGCAGTGACAATTACTGGTGATAGTTGTTTGCCATGGCTCTTACATCTCACTGCGTCACAAAACGTGCTGTCAGCGATGGTCGGTTGATGCGTTGACGAGTGTCTGTCCCGTGAGTGACATGATATTTTGCATCACTGGGTACGAGCACCCATAGGAAAGATCGGGAACAAACCCCGGTGGGCCCGTGGTCGTATGTTGACAGAGATGGGGATCTCCTCTCTCTGGAGGTGGCAGCGTCTGTTCTCCATGTTATGGGGCGGCTCAAAACAGCGTCTGTTCCCCGTGTTAGGGGCGGCTAATCTTCATCCTCTTGCCAACGAGGGAATCTAAACAGAACTATATCCTCCTGCGAGACAAGGGTTAGGGAAAGGCTCAACAAGCCGTCCTTAAATACAATCGTTGCAACTATTAGAGAAGGAATTACGGATTGCAACAATCGGCAAAGACCTAGTCGACGTGGTCGTTTTCCAAGTAACAATTGTATGAGGCTGCTGTCCCAAGTAACAATTTTGATATTATAAGCGTTCTGTAGACCATTCTCTAGATTTAAACCCTGGATCAAACTTGCAATGCTCCTTGTATGTAGACCATGCTTAAGACTTGTAGAATGCTATAAAACTTCGATGAAACTTACAATGTATGCTTGGGATTGCTTCCCGGGTTATGATAGGTTAAAATTGCGAGGCTGGCGACGTACAGCCATGGATCAAGTGAAGTGAAGACGACTTCTGTGTATAGCATAAGACATACCCAGGCATGGTTATATCAGTAAGTTCTCTGGATTGCTCCTGGAAATTATCGGAAATGTCTTGGAGAATTTCCTGAAGTTCCTTGCAATTTAACCTGGAATTGCTCTAAATTTTACCTGTAGACCCAGTAGAATCAGTTGCTCTCATGGGTATATGATCTACATCAATGGTCTTTATCAAGCAATGATTATTAATGAAACAATTAGCAGCCAGAGCACACACAATTATTTGCTTTGCAATATCTTCGAAATTTGGAGTAGAATCCTGTTTCACTCTAATATAATCTATATTAAAAGTGTTCAAACGAAAGAACGGAAAACCTCCCATGAATAGGAATGGCACGGATAAATTTGAAGGATTCACAGTTCTTGCCATGTCAAATTGTGACAACCAACCCGATCAATTTACCACACCCTTGTAATGCTTCCGCAACGTTCCGGAATTCGAATCACCCGCAGTGGAAAAGGTTACAAAAATTAAATCCATACAAAATTTGACAAACCATAAATACAGCAAAGCAGGACGCGGCACAAGTTTGGGGTTGCATCTTGGACGAGTACAATTCACGCACACACCACTTTCATTGCGCAAGCGACGGACGGACGGACAAAGGGACGTCACATTTCTACATAATGCCTAGTAGGAATCGATGGGTGGTAGTTCGATGGTCCAAAAGAGTTCCCAAAAAATAGAAAATGAAAACGGCACATCTATGAGATCGATCGACTTGAACACCACAACTGCAAAACTGACACTACATATCAAAAACTAAAAAAAAAAACTCGCGGACAATCCTACACCTGTGATTGTGAGTATTTTTTTTTTAAAGTGCAAAATGAATCTCTAAATATGATGCTTGTTATAAATGCTGTTGAACCCGATGCGGATGTTACTGGTGAATGAATTATGTAGTTAATGTATTTTTTTTTTTAATTTGTCCAGCTTTTTTCCAATGTGGTAACATAGAACAGTCACAGCACACGGCTCACAAACGTTGAACAGAACGGAAAACGAAATTGTTGTTTGTGTGCTTTGTACCGTTGAGTGTGCCTGGTTCTGGTTGTTGCTAATATACCATAAAACTTGAAAAATTTCGTGTTAGGTCGAAATCGCCAACATTCGATTAGGTGCAATGGTGCAGGAAAGCTTTAGGCGGAAAGCTTTGCGCAACGGCCGTTATTGTTTTTATCAATGCGTGAAAGAAGTGATAGTTGGAAAGTGATTATTCACCTGTCATAACCTCCATGAATTCTGGAAGTAAGTGTGAAGAAGGAAATTAATATTATTAAAAAGATTCCGCTTGAATTTAAGACTAAGATCATACCTTCAAAGTCTACCGTTCCTGAACCGTCAGCGTCAATCTCATCTATAATGTCGTCCAGCTCCTCCTCGGGCACTGCACCGTCTAGTTCCCGCAGGATCTGTTTGAACGAGTCTACTGGAATGAAGCCCTTGGCTGTGAATACAAAGTGTCTGGTTAAAAGCGGCAATAAGGAGAGGTAGTGATTAGTCTGAATAGATTTCTTTTAATAGAAGAAAACTGCACCGCAGTGCATTCTTGGCAAATGCTCAAAACAGAACTGTGTCGCTCTATCATTTAGTAACTGCAGTTGTTTGCAACACTGTACTGTCGCATAGACGATTTGAGCTGTTGTGTAATCACGGATTAGGGCAAAACAGAGATGGACTTATTCCTTTCACTAACCTTCCTTGTCGTACATCATGAACACCTCTCGGAGTTCTTTCCGTAACGCGTCGTAGTCCTCCTCTGGTTCTACGTAATTTGACGCCAGTTGCACGAATTCACTGAACTCCAGCTGGCCAGATTCATCCACGTCGTACTCATCGATAATGTCATCGAGCTCTTCTTCTGACAGTGTTTGGCCGAGCAGTTCCAGAATGGTACCGACAACGTCGGTGGGAATGCTGCCGGTCTTGTCCTTGTCGAATGCATCGAAGGCTTCCTTTAGCACTGTGAAGGGGGAGTAGAAAAAATGAAGATCGGATTAGTTAGTGCAGGTTTGAAGTAGATGGTAGAGTATTCTTTACAATGAACGTTGGATCGTGTACCTTGCTGGATTTTTTGGAGTGGACAGATGATTTGTTTCTTTTGTTCGATATAATATGGCACCAGGGGAATGTTAGATTATCTAAGATTGTTGTATACAAAAATAATGTGGTCACCGGAATACTTTTCAAATAATTGAGTAGCTAATTTCTTGAAATAAATACCTTCTCGCCAACTCAATAAAGCTACAAAATTTACTTATTGAGGATTTGTACGAAAATAAATAGTTTGAAAAAATGTCTTGTTCCCTGCAGTTTGTTGTTATAATTACGAGTACAGCTCTGGCAAGAAATATTATCAGAAGATGCTGTGATTTTTTGTATAAGCCATTTGTTTTATTTGTAAAAGAAATCCATCCACATACGCATTCAATTATTTAAAAAAACGGTCATTTTACGAACTGTTATTAAACAAAATTGACAGTTACAAATGGGATCTAATATCGGAAAATCATCCAATTCTAATTTATTAACATTAACTGATCTTGTCCTTCGTAATAACATTAAGATTTAGTATAGCGGGGTGCGAGCTTTTTCAATCTTATGAGTTGTTAAAATTAGTTAAATTTCGTACTGCTTCTGACAGCACTTACCTCCAGAGGGCAACTTGATTGACTTGAGAATGCATGGCCAAATGCATTTTTAATTAAAAATATCATCAATAGAGCATTTCGTATCGTATTTCACGCTGGATAAATTCCACGCTAACTGACAAATCGATTTTGTTTTTGCCTTTCCGAATTCTTCCAATCTTCACCAAATTGTTCGATAAGGGTAATGAACCAAGTTTGTGTCGAAATTCAGCCATTTTGAATCAAAATGGTGTGCTCGATATTTTTCAATAAACCGTGGCACAAAACTTGCTTATATAATGACGCCTGAGACATAGTTTTAGAAAACAGGTTTGCCTTTTTGGAAAAAAATAAACACTGGGAAAATCACAAATTTTCGTAAAAAAAATGATGAAAAGTTCAAAAACAAAAAAATTCAAGTGTGCTAAATTTTCTTAAATGGATGGATACACGATGGATACTAAAAACTTGACAAAAATCGATAAACATCAACTGTTGATATATATTTTTATTTATTTTTTTCACGCTTTATTTATGGTATTTTTGCAAAGGAAGTGGATTTCTAGTTTAAAATATAAGCATTAAAAAACATTTGTGGAAAAAAGTTAACATTTTTTATAAGCATCAGTTATGTTTTTTTTTTTAATTAACTGATATTTTTTTATCAATCCGATTCGTACTTTCCTCAAAATTGTCCATTGTTTGCTTTCTACTTTCTGAATTCAATTTTAACACTGCCGTACTACAATGGAAGTAGCAACTCTATACTGATATTTGACGATAAGCATCTAAAAATAAGTTTTTTGTCTTATTATGTTCGTCGAAAATTTGTGATTTTTCATTTATTGTGTATTTTTTCCTGGATAGGCAAACCAGTTTTCTACAACTTTGCCCTAGATGTCAATTGCTAAGATGAGCGATTTTCATGATTTATTGAAAAATATCTCAAACGCCATTTTGAAAAATTGGATCAGAGTTAAACTGGCCGAATTCCAGCAGAAGCTTAGCGAACAGTTGGGTGAAGTTTCATGAAGTTCTAAGAGATAAAATCTAAATTTTGTTTATTTTTTCACTATTGGGTCTGACATTGCTAGGAAATGCAGTGCTAAGGTGATTCGCGCTCGACTGTGGAACTTTTGGCCGAGTTCACTATTTCGAGTGTCCAGCTTTAGCCCAATGATCGGTCATCATCACCATAATTCGATTATCACCATCATCACCGTCATCAATAGCCGCATCCAAATAGCAGCAAACGGAATACCTAGCTGATAGGGAAGAGCGCTACTTCGTCGTAATCGCTAATTTCCGTCGTATCGAGCAGGAATCATCTATAATATCAATGATTCCACCGTGCACAAATCAATCATACGTCTGTTCATAAGTTACCATACAAAGCTTATTAGAGCACATTGCATGAATATTTACACTCGTTGTTCTCAAAAACCAAAGAAGTGCTCTTAGCGAATCAATTTGTTTTACCTTCATCCGTAGAACGAAGAAAACTTAAAGGCGTTTCAATGCGCTAAGACGGAATTGAAACCCGTAGAACGAATATGACTAGAGTCAAGAAAGGGTGTTAGATTTCTTACAATAACTCAACTATTTGTGACTTTTTGACAAATCCAACGGTACGTATGGAATTGTAAATACATTTGGAAGTTTCCGTTCAAAAAAGAGAGGTTAATTGTTGGATGTGTGGGATGGAAATTGGATTAAAAACCCTACGTTTATTTACAATCGATGTTTTTTTTTCTCTTTTCGGGACTCAACACCACTGCGACCAGTAATTTTATCTATTGTAGCTTTTGTGCCGTTATCAAATGTTATGCCTGATTTTATCTCGTGGCACATGGCTGTGTCCAGTGCTGTAAATTTTCATATAATTCGATTGAAGATGAACCAATACAACCATTCAATCAATTCTGTGTAAACGAATTCTCACATGACCATAATTTGAAGAGCCCCTTTCTCATTCGAAGCTCATTGTCACTGTCAATTGAGTCACTAAGTATCATTTCAGGCATACCATTTGATAACGGCACAAAAGCATTTGTAAACAAACTTTCTAAGACCCTTTACACGCGAACCAAAGTACGCCCACGCAAACCAACAACATTATCGGATAGGGGCAACTATCACCTATTATGCCTGATTTGATATACGACAATGGAGTATGGAAGAAATCCAGCGAAATGGTCCCGAACAAGTCGACCCGATGTCGGATCAATGTAAGGCTAATTTAAGGTCGATGTCAACCCAATGTCGTGTTGTTGTCGGGTCAATTTTGAGTTTATGACGCTTCAATGTCAGGTCAACATCGGGTTGCGGTTTGATAGAAGTCAGATTGGTGTCGGGTTGGCTTCGCTTTTTTGCCGGAATGTCGACCAGAGCTCCGTTTGTGTGTAGGTTACACTCAATTGAATGATATATAGCGTTTCTCAAATGAGAATGATCCATGCCTTCGTCAAATGACTAAGCAACTGATATCACCGATTCGGAGGAGGTCCCCTTTGATAGCGAATAGCTACTTTTCTCATTTTCATCAAAAATGCTCAAATGATTTTGAGAATTTACAGCACTGGCTGTGTCTCTCTCGCCTGATAGCACCTGAGGAGTGGAAAACGGGTCTAATGATCCTTTAATGACTACAAAGTTTCATTATCTATACTTCCTGCAAATTTTCTCATCTTCCACAAACTTCCAAATTCCATATTTTATGAAAATCCTCTCAATTCTATCTATTGGTCTTCTATTGGTTTTCCCACGACCTCCAAGCTTCTGGAATTACGTTGAACCTTGAATTTTTATAATGATCTGATCAAAACAAAGTTTCCAAAACTTCCAGTAAGTTCCCAAATTAAAACATGCAGTGCTGAAGAGCCTGATAAACTTCTACAATACTCGCTTAGCTTCTATGAAACTCCTTGAACTTCTACAAAGTTTGCTGAGCTTCAACAATTTTGGTTTAATAAAAAATAGACAGCATTTCTATAAAGTTGTTTGGAGTTCTGGGATTTTTTAAGTATTTCGCTTAAATTCTATGAAGTTCTTCAAAATTTTCAGAATGTCTATGGAATTTCCAAATTATATTTTAAGTCCATTAAACTTTTCAGGACACTGAGCTTTCGTGAAGTTCTGTATTGAACCAAATTGCCTTTAGTTCATCGAAGTTTCCCAAACTTTTATAAGGTTCTCAGTTGTATAATGTATTCCCGAATTTCTGCAAAGCACCCCAAGTTCTATTATTCTATTTTCTATGAATTTATACTGTATTAATACGAATATTCTACTTGTAGCATACTTTTTTGTTTGTTCGTGGTTAATTTTAAGAATAATCCCGAATTATTCCATCTGCTGCTATTTTTCCATACGAATTCGAAAAATTGTTCAAAAATCCTTTTACGGAAGTTCTGAGTAGGTCTCCGAATTGAGCATAAATTTCATCTCTAAGAAGATTAAAGAAAAATCACTACACCGGCGGAGTATCTTGATTTTCAAAATTGGCTAAATATCTTTAAAGTGCGCTAATTTCCCACACATTTTTTATGACGCTCTTAAAATTTTTCTGAACTTCAAAAAAACTTGCTAAGATCGACAAAATTATCTGATGTTTCATGTTCAACAGAATCTAACAGAAGCTCTATGAAGTTTAATGAACTTCTACAAACTTTGCTGGGCTAATCATAATTTTCTGAATTACTGCACTTCTAGAATGGTTTCAGAACTTCAATACAATTCAATGAATGTCTACGGGGCCTTCCTTAGCTCAGTCGATAAAGGCACAGCTACAAAGTAATATCATGGCACCATGAAGTGGCTGGGATACATTCCCGGTCCGGTCTAGGAATTTATCGGGTTGGAAAATTTCTCGACTTCCCTGGGCATTAGACTGATGCAAAATTTGAAACAGTTTCAAATCAAGTCCTGATTAGCCTCCCAAAATTTAAACTCATTTGGTAAGAAACTGACTTGGCACAAACTATTCGAAGTTTGTATGGAAATTACCATGGGAAAACCAAAATGTTTGTTCATTGCCTTCCACCCATTTTCCATATTGCTTTTTCGAAAATTTCTGTAACTATTCTTACGGGAAATTTTATAAGCTACAACTTTGCCGTATATTGTTTTTCAGCCAAATGTCAAATTAAATTGTTATTAATTTTTTGAGAGATTGATAATCTCATGGCATGATCATGCAGCTGTTCTGTGGGCAACACTGTATTATGCAGTGTGGCATAGTAGCCATGATATTTGTGCTCTATTCTTCGCACCAGAAACACCAATGTTGCCTGCTGAACAGTTGAATGAGCATCATAAGACATCAGTGACTTGA